GTGTGTCTGTGTGTCTGTGTGTCTGTGTGTCTGTGTGTCTGTGTGTCTGTGTGTCTGTGTGTCTGTGTGTCTGTGTGTCTGTGTGTCTGTGTGTGTGTGTCTGTGGTGTGTGTGGTGTGTGTGTGTGTGTGTGTGTGTGTGTGTGTGTGTGTGTGTGTGGTTGTGTGTGTGTGTCTGTGTGTGTGTGTGTGTGTGTGTGTGTGTGTGTGTGTGTGTGTGTGTGTCTGTGTGTGTGTGTGTCTGTGTGTGTGTGTGTGTGTCTGTGTGTGTATGTGTGTCTGTGTGTGTGTGTGTGGGTGGCTGTGTGCGTGTGTGTGCGTGTGTGATTTGTGTGTGTGTGTGTGTGTGTGATTTGTGTCTGTGTGTGTGTGTCTGTGTGTGTGTGTGTGTCTGTGTGTGTGTGTGTGTCTGTGTGTGTGTGTGTCTGTGTGTGTGTGTGTGTCTGTGTGTGTGTGTGTGTGTGGGTGGCTGTGTGCGTGTGTGTGCGTGTGTGATTTGTGTGTGTGTGTGTGTGTGTGTCTGTGTGTGTGTGTGAAGAGGAGGACAGGCGGGCTGTATGTGCGTGTGTGTGTGCGAGAAGACGAGGAGAGGAGGACAAGGAGATGAGGAGGAGGATGAGGAGGAGGAGAAGGAGAAGGAGGAGAAGGAGGAGCGGGCGGGACAGCCCCAAAAGTAAGAACCCCACAGCAAGATGTGGGGAACAAAAGAATTCAAGAGTTGCACGCTCAACGGGAACAGGCGGTTGTTGTTCCTGAGTCCGAAGTGGTTGTCCCGAACCCAGCAACCGCAACCAAAAGCCAGCGGCTCTGACAGGCCTCGCGAGGAATCCTCCCGAGGTAGAAGGTCAAAGAGTTGCTCGACATCCGCACGCGTGGGCGACCTTTCAAGGAGTACCCGACGCGCCAAAATCTCGGCAGGATGAGTGGTCAAGCTAACACCAGGAAAATGCAAATCGAGGGATACCACAAACGATGCAGTCGACTCCCCGCGAGAACACGCAGTTTTACCAGGAGCTTCCACTGCAGCTTCAACCCCAAAGTTGGCCACAGGAAGGTCCGCACGGGCATCATCTAGCCAAGTGTGTTTGATAAACGGGTGCTTTTGGAAGCAATTGGGCTTGCAACACAAGTGTTTGCCTCGGGGGCAGCTGGCAATGTCGCCATGTTCGCATTTACCCAAGTTCCAATTCCAGCACAGAGGCGATCCTTCAGCATCGACAGGCACACCGCCCTTCAATGCAGCAGGCATATACGGTGTGCGCTTTTTCGCGCGCACAGCAGTCCTTTGCGCAACTGCCTTAGGAGGAAGAGGTACTTTGGCTTCCGGCTGCTTGCGCTTCTTGGGATTGGGCTTTGCAGCAGCTTTGGGCGCAGTGGAGCCGCCACCTCGGTTTCGAGGCAAGAGGCGTTGCTCCACGCACCGCATCTTCAGCACCACAGGGAGGTGACGGTCCAATGGCAGACTGCCGTCAGACCCAAGTGTGAATCCCGAGCGACATCGATCACTCAGCCGAAGATGTATCTCGCGATCGCACAGAGCCAATTGTGCCAGAGTCACGCGCTGGTAGCCATCCGGGGCTTCTTTGTAGTAAGCATCAAACAAGTACTGAATCAGTCAAACTCTCGCGGACCTCGAAAGTCATCAGCTCTGCTATTGCATAGCAGACTCCACGGCGCCGGAGAGCATGGTGCACCAGCAAGTCGGAGGCAATGTTGGCTTCGAGACGAGGAGTGTCTTTGTGCTCTCGCACCACCCCGGATTTGTCGGGCTTCCAAGCTTTCAGAGGGGCATCCTCCGATGCTCCAAGAACCTCTTGGTCACGGGTTGTCAGCCGAGATATCGGAGCCGCCCTTCGTCAAGCATGGCTGCAAACATGTTGATGCTGGCATGACTTGGTTCAAGAATGCCTTGCAACTTCAACGGAGAGATTTTGGGCTCAAGAATTTGCAAGCGAGCACCGATTTCTGCGACCGGCAACTTGCGCGGTGCAGCGTCGTCGGTGCCATCCACTTTGCGCTTCAGGTCAGCGGCAGTCAGCGTCCAGGATTCCCAGTGAAGGCGTCTAAGTGCTGCTTCATGAGCTCCGAACGTGGCTCCAAGCACGGCATCGATGACGAGCTTAATGGCTGCTTCAGCACCAGTGGATCCCGGCGCCGCCGTGGGTGCATGCGCGAAGTTGGCAAAGGTGCACCATCCACGATTGTCGAGTTGATCTACCACATCTGTTGGTAAGCCAACAGCAAGGCAGCGCTGGCGGAAGATTGCTTTGGAGTCAACATAAGCCATTGCGCACGCCGTGGTACCTTTCTCGAGCACTATGCTGCCCAAGGTGGTTCATGTTGGTCCCCTGTGCCACTTCGCATGAAAGACGGATTTAGGTCCACCCACTGTTCACTGGCACACGAGCCGCCCTGCACACAGCCGCTGCACTTCTCTGTTGCCGCTGCAGGCACTGTGCCGCTATAACGGCTTCAGAACACAATTCGAATCCCTGCCTCACTCATTTAAAGCATGACAAGCAGGGATTGACAATGACATTTGGACGCCCTCCCAGCTCTAGATGGGTAGCTGTGGCAAGGCGGCCACAAACAAACACAGTAGCGTCATCATCGTTGGTGCGTCGGGCACGACACACTGTGTTACGCACCGAGTGCCGGTAGTACATGTAACCATCGAGCGACGACGACTCTACCGTCTCATTCAGAGCGTGAGTCTCCGCTAAAAACCCGTCAAGCTCAGAGTCAGCGCTGCCGGTCTCGTCCACAACTTCTTCGCTGGACTGAGAATCTGACGAGGAATTGTCCAACAGACGGCCAACCTGCTGGGGGATAGCCGTCTTGAGACGCTTGGCTTCGGCGCCATCCCGCCGCCGAAGGCTGGCGACACCTGAGTCAAAGTCCTCGCACTGGTACCACCTTTGCAAGCGCGGCTCATCAGGATAGAAGAGTCCTTCGTGGATGAGCTCGAGGGTTTGGAAGAGCCGCTGAATGAGCGGGGCAGCTGCATTATGCGCATATTCAAGCTCGGACCGGCCTTCAGATCCCACATGGTACCCAGCTCTGCGGCACATAGCGTTGGGCGCGGCACCTTTGGTCAGCCAGGCCAAACAAGTGGCCTTGCAGCTGTGCGTGGCTATGTTCGAGAGCTCTTCACAACTGCAGAGGTCTGACAGGATGTCGCGCATCCACACGGACGCGTCTGAGCTTCGCAACTTGCGATCGGAGAAATTCCCATCAGCCGTGGGGCACCTCATCAAGGGTTCACTTTCCGATGCGCGGAGACCTAGAGCCTCTCGGTTCTTGAGGTATGCGGATGCCCAACATTCCGATTTGTGGACACCAGGACTTATGGCGAAGACTGGAGGCGCAACTCTATCTCTTCGTCACGGTCTGGCTTTGTCAAGGACTGAAGCACATCTAGTGGCCACTGCTTCAGATCGTGCACGGTTCGGATTCCTGCAGGCGCACGCTCAGCTACCCAAGCATCATCCGGCTCAGTGCCAACTGATGACACCCGCTGAAGGAGGCGACGCTTCTTGTCGGGAGGGAGCGACCCATTCGACCCAGTTGCCCGTGTTCAAAATCCAGGAGGCAAGACGAGCGGCACTCACCGGAAACATCATCTGACAATGCCAGGAAAAGCTGTGAAGCACTCACTAGGCAAAGCTGGTTGATAACTTCGAACATCTCACCACAAGCGATCTCTGGCAGACGCCGCCCACGCAGGGGGCAGCTTTCCCAGGCCCGTTTCCTGCCCGGCGGCGCAACTCGATTGTGGTGGCATGGGCACGACTCCAACGAATCAAGAAGCTCTCGCACCAATTTGAAAAGGCAGCCCAATGTCAGCAGTTGCGCCCAGACGTCAGCTAGCTCGATGCTTTCATGGACGAAATCGAGCCTCGCACCGGCGCCCGACTCATCAGGACGACCGGCTTCTTGGCCATTGCTGAAGGCTGGCAAATCCCAAAATGTACGCAACGGCTTCTGCAAATGCAAAAGCTCAGGCACGGCAAAAGCCACCGAGCCCCACCGCCCTTCATTAACCTTGGCATGGAAATTCAATATGTCCGACTCAAAACACCGGCTTACAGGACCGGAGAAACATGTGGAGACCAGGCGCTGCTTGGTCTCGTGATTGCACAGGAAACGACAAATTGCCACTAGACGCGGTACGCTTTTCCGACATACGGCAAATGCTCGAGCAATCGGTCTGTGGCATTGTGCAGATTGTGCAAAGGTCCTGGAATGGACAGCATATTCTGCAATGAAAGGTTGTCTCTGTCAGTAGGCTCATCTGGAATGTCATCAAACAAATCATCCTGATTTGCATCACTTGCTCCCTGCTCATGAGTGGGTTTGCTAGCCTGGCTGGCATCGAACCACGGTAGAAGTTCACGGCACGAGGTTGGACGAGTCGTACTTAAGGAAAACTCGACTCCAAGATCGAAGGTTCCAGCAACAATATCTTGAACGAAATCACCCAGGCTGGAAATGTGAGGTCCGGCTTCCAACATAAGTGCAAACATGACGGTGCAGAACTTATCATGCAAGCTGGTTCGTCCTGACCCCAATGCCATAATTGGCAAATGATGCTGCTCGATGCCAGCCGCAAGGTCTGCCAAGAGCTGGGTCTCTTCTGCCAGAGCCTCGCTATCATCATTCTCAACCCGTTGCCTGAGATCGGCAAGCTCCAAGCTGCAACAACATTAACTAAATGAGACCACGCTATCTTTGTTGCACGATTTCTGGTTGTTTTGTTCGGGGGTTTACGATCACCTCTTACACTTTCGGTTGGAGCAGCCCTACTTTTCAGCATCTACATCTTGCATAGGCAGACACAGTCACCAGACGTCGAAAAGGGCATTTGCAGCAAGGTAAAGCCGTCCCAGATCTTGCTTTTTAATGCTGGCAAGAATGATGTGCTCAAACTCACGCCCATGTTGCGATGACGCATCTGCCATCAGGCAATGAACAACTCCTGGTTGTTCTGAGTTCTGCAATGCCTCATCACACATTCGTCGGAAAGCATAAAGCCTCCATCAAGCACGAGCTTCCATCTGGAAATGCTACTGGCGTATGGGATATGTTGGTGGCACGTCTGCAACAAGTCACGAAACACACCTTGCAAAACTTTGGGCAAGAGGATGCTTGCCGCAGTTTGCAGGGCCTCCCCCGTTGCCGAGGCACCGCGAAGCAAAGAGGACATGGTAACTGCCTTGACCAAGAACGCCACCTGATAGGGCCTTCGAGAAGATCGCCACAGACCCGAGCCTTTTCCCACCAGGTCCCTTGCCGAGCGAACAAATGCACTGGGATCAAGTCCTGCCAGCAAAGACTGAAAAGTAGCCACATATCGCTGAAGTGCGAGATGTTCAGCTTCCTGGGAACAGCTCGCCCGGCGTGTCAGGATTCATGGAAGCTGCATATTCCGCAAGAAATCAATGGCCTCATCAAGCACAGCAGTCTCCAGTTGCATGGGATTTGACGCATCCTCATCTGGGAAGTTTTGCGCATGCGCTGGCAACGGGGGCGGCTTTGCCCACACAGCCCCCACTTGATTGTGAGGCTTGAAGACCCATGCTGCTTCGCTCTCGGCAAATGTGGAAACACAAGACATTGCCAAGTCCCTGCAAGAACCTTCCACAAGAAAGGACGAGGTGCCCTGAGAATATTTGCAGCGGGCTCAGATCCTAGCCATTCCATTCCCTCAGCAGTCATGTCTAGCATCTCCCAAAGTCGAGGTCCCTGTTCTGCTTCTATCTTCGCAACAAAGCTTCGTGGCTGGTGGCTCCCAAACTGCTGTAAATCGCAAGGACAGTCCAGAGCCTTGTACTTGTCAACATGAAATATATAAGCCTCCCCTCCAGGCATGCAACGATCTACCAGTGATCATCTGCCAAAAACGCAGCTGTCGCTTTCCATCTTGATCCAGTCGCAGCATGGAATGGTACACACTGATGCGGCACACTCTAAGCATGCCGTAAACCTTTGCAGCATCGTCAGATGCCAGGGAAGCTTTCGCATCATCAGCGTCTGATTCCGCTTCGGCTGACACCGAAACACGATGACCCTGGTAGGTCAACGTGTTCATGCTTACAGCCCACACAGGCAGTGCCATCGTGTAAAGCATGTTCTGATAGGAGCTGTCGATTATGCGCGAAGTACAAGACGTTACACTGCGCTCACTGCAAAACCCCTCCCAACCACAGAGCAAATTGTTCACTGTCAATGTAGGTACGGTTTAGCCTGGAAACATAACTAGAATACGAGGTTTCGCAGAGGTAAATGATGCTTTCCGAAGTGATTGCTGCTGCAACTGCACTCATGTTCAGTGGGAAGGTGTGACGAAACGATCCTAAAGGCTACGTGCGACCTCAGCCACTCGGAAGCAGCGCGGAAGTGCCACATCGGAATTGAAGACTCGAATAACTCCGATGTTTCTCCTAGAATGCTCCACTCAGAACTGGAACTGACCCCAGCTCAGCTTGTTGGAATCAAACTCAAGATTTCTTCATGTAACAGTCTGCAGCGAAGCTTAGAATGATTCAAGCAGCAGAACTGAATACGAAAAACTGCTTGGGGCTTAAAGCTTATAGGGGCTAGGGTTTAGGGTCTGAGTTTTTTTTATCCCGAACTGGTCAAGCGCTTAACGAAACCCGGGCAAACTGCACAAGACATGGTTCCCCCCGCCATAATCCGATTGGATGAAAACAAACAGACAAGATTGCCGACCAAACCCCCAAGTCAGGTCTCGGACCAATGCAAGTTGTGAAACCACCCAAGCACAGGGGTCGACAGTGTTCCGTGCAATTAAGCACTTCAGTCAAGCGAGCTTCAGAACACGGACGTGCAGAGTCCGATCATGTTTTGCTAGACTTTGGCGCTAACGAAGTGTTAAGGCAAAGTCCAATCATGCCAAAACGCACCTCCAAACCTCAGTTGACGCTTGCGAACAACACAGAGATTGAAGCAGGCCGAACACAGGAAGGTGAGGTGGTGGCGCGGGGAGAAGGCAAGGACATCATTGTTCGAGTGCGTAGGCTAGTTGCAATAGGCCGCGAAATAACTTGTAAAGAGAGTGGAGCGTGGCGCAGACCCCCAATCTAGTGTGATGCCCAGTGGATCGAGCTAGAAGTGTGCAACGGAGGTGTTCGTGAGGCTACGACCACTCTTGACCATCTTTTGAATCATCATCGCACGCATTTCGCAGCAACAGCTTGCACAGCTGAGGAGCCGTGTGTCAATCACGCAATATCTTGGCAGGAATCTTGTGCCTGTTGCAATCTGCAGCAGCAGCGGCTGTATCTAAGGAGGCTGAGGAGCTAGCAGCCACAACACTGAGCCAAGGATGCCTGGATTTTCAGGAGGTGGCCACTGTGATTCGGAGCATCAAACTGCCAATTCGCACGCAGCCATCGCGGGAGTGCATTGGTCAGGTAAGTCAGGAGCCTTCAAGTCATGGACTCTAGGCACTTGGAGGCGCGGTGGCGTGGTCGGCATCTCCACCTTGACACGGGAAAGGCCTAATCTGGTCAAGTTGGTCAATCGGATGCTACAGGCGTGACTGTGACGCCCCACCGGGAGCCAAACACCAAGAACAGCTTGGATTGCGCAGTTGAAGGGACCGGTGGCGGATTGCGGGTAGAAAATCCACAGGGGAAGGCATTTCGTCAGATCAAACCTGGAATGCATCTGGCTGGAGAGGTACACAACCTGCGACATCAGCCGCTGCAGTTCGACCCATCGCTGTGGCACGGTACTGAACCGTGGACAGGCAAGCGGTTGGTCGTCACAGCGTGTACGGCAGGCTTGTGGGACAAGGTACCAGAGCAAGATAGGTCACGCCTGAGGATGCTGAATTTTCCTTTGCCAGCGCTTCGCGCAGAAGCAGTAGCACAACACATCAGCAAACCGGACAGCAACATTTGCACTCACAACAACCTTGAAGCAGCTGTCTCTAACACCCGAGGTGGTGAAGACCATTGTGAGTTCTGGGCTGAAGTGTGTAACGCTCAGGCCGGTGTCAGTGTTGATCAGGGCGGTAGTGCCCCGGTTGAGTTCGGGGAACAGTGCTTCGGCGAATCGGTAGGCGAACACGATGGACCTTGTGCAATGGCTGTCGAGGAATGCGATGAACTAGACTCTGCATTAGACTGGTGTGAAGAACTCGAGGATCTGGTTGAAGAAGAACATGCCAAGCGCAAGAGCTTGAAGGACTTGATGGCTCAAGGCTTACGGCACCCACATCGCAAACTCAATCCTGCCGATGTGGCTCTGGGTTCGCTGGCTATAGACATGGCTGGACCGAACAAGGAGGGATTCGGTGGTTACAAATACGGTTTGATCGGGGTGTTTACCTTCCAGCACAGTGGTCCTGGATTGCACTTTGTACGGCTACTTCGGAGTCGCAAGGTGGATGAGGTTCAAGCTGGAATCCTGGGATTGAATCATCAGCCAACTGACGGCGATATCAGGGTCAAAGGACTTCGTGGTGCGCTTGCATTCTGATAATGCTCTGGAGTTTGTGACGCAGCGCTTCAGCAAGCACATCAACAGTCAGGGGATCTTCAACTTCAACCAAGACGGTTCCTCACAACCCCGCCTCAAGCGGCAGGGCCGAGCGAGCTGCGCAGCCATTGAAACGTGGAGCCTTGGCATTTCTCATAGAGGGAGGCCTGGAGCGGCGGTTTTGGCCATATTGCATCTTGGAAGCCGCGTCGCGTCAGCGAAACGGCGCATTGGGAAGCAAGCTAGCGAAGCTGGCGCCGGGAGATTCGTGCGCAGTCAAGGTACAGCAGTCTGAGCCTTTTGAGCCGAAGGTTGAAACAGCGTGGTATCTAGCACGAGATCCCGAAACCTCAAAAGGCGCTTTTGTGCTTGCTAAACGGAACGGTCGAGATCAATTGGCCCGAGCGGGAGAGCCCGTCAAGTTGGAGATCAGCGGTGACGAAGAAAAATGGAGGCCCTGCACTCTTGATGACAAGCATTTCTGAGTTTCGTCAAAGGGGCGGGTTGAGGAGATGGACCGATCACATCGAGTTACCAACTCTCGAAGAACGACTCTTTGGACCTAGTGGTGAAGAGCTTGTCTTTGGGGCCGGTCCGGAACATCTGGTCGCCAAGCTTGCAATGGTCTCCAAGGGATCACGGTCAGGCATGAATCCGGCTCAGGAGGAGGGAAAGTACGCTCATTGGTCTTCGTCCATGGAGCAGGAAGCCTTGGATGCGGAATGCATGGCAACTATCTTGGCTGAACAGCAACTGGTAACGGAGACGGTGGGAATTCAAGTGCTTACTTGCAGAAATGCTCTCAGGCAACAAAAAAAGGCAAAATTCAGTGACGGGTGAGATTGGAAACATGACCACGAAAGAGGTGTGGATCCAATGTAAGGCTTCTCAAGTGCGGGAGAAGTTGGGGCTCAGGGAACATCAGAGGACTCCCATTACACTTCCGATGAAGCTGGTCTTGACGCGCAAACCATTGTTGGAGGGCGGAGACTTGACCGAGGAGAAGCATTTGAAGGATCAGATTCCCACGGCAGCTAGTGATTTGACGGCGGCGAGCGCTCAGGAGGCTTTTAAGGCTAAGTGTAGACTAGTCGTATGTCGCAACTTCGAACAGCAACCTGGCGATGACATCAAGCCAGAACGTCGACGCTGACACGATCAGATTCCTGGCGCACAAGTGGGCATCGAATCGGTATTGGAAGGGATGCATTTGACATAAGTGCCTGCCTTTCTGAACTCGTGGCTGTCGGCAGGTACCAAGATTACAATGAAGCCACCGGCCATCCTTGTACGGTCGGGTTACTTCGACGAGGACAGAATTCTGATCCCCCAGAAGTCGTTGTATGGTTTGAGGCGTTCCCCGAGAGACTGGGAACAGGAAAGGTCTGCAAAGATGGACGGTGCGGTGCTCCCAGCTGCCGAAACCGACGAGCTCGAGGACTTGGTTCTTCAT